TGTAAAATATAATGTTGATTGAGAATGTCACACTGTATGTGACAATGAAATGTGCCATTATTTAAAAGATATTTTTCTCATTAGCCTATGACTATTGACTTTGTTTATCAATTTTCATTTAATCCATAAGGAAGCTCCACTATTTGTATTATATTTTATGACCTTGCGCACCTAGGCCAAATTACAAGAGAGACAATGAAAACTTTAAGTTATTAAATTTTTAGGCCATTAAAATCTCCAAACATCCCAACATAAAAGTTATTTTTAATTCATATGGTTTGTCATGAAGAGAAGAAAAAAAAAACTGTTAATTGGTATAGATTTGTAAAATATATATTAAATGAAGACCTAAAGATCCACTAACTTAGCATATAAAAAATCGAATAAATTCCTACGTTTTTTTGGTTGGGTTGCATATTTTATGATAAAAATGTAATGTCAAAGGCGATAAAATATGATAAATAAATATTTGATATTTGATATTTAAATTGCGTATATAATTTGTATGTGTGTTTAGGTAAGTTTTACACTTGTTTAAGGATGAAATTGGACTGGTTAGGGAATTGAAAGAATTAGATTCGAGAAGGGGAAACAAGACACGTAAAGAACGAAAATATCTTTGATACCCAAATTAGTGGAATTCGAAGTATGATCTCAAAACGAGCAATCAAATTCGTATATCTGTATAAGAATTCTATTTCTGTATTTATAAATAACGAAGTATGAGACCAACTTAATGGTAACTAAGCATGACTGCGAATATCTAGGCATGTTATGGTGGACAACAAGGTAAGTTGATAATAGTATCATTTATTGATATCTCTGCTCGACCTTGGTTAAAGCCAAGGTATATTGGATAAGGTTCTGAAGCATGATTCATCGAGCCTAAGGTATGAGATGTTATTTCTTGAGCCTTCAATCGTTTCTCTTTCTCTTCTCACATGGAAGATCGCTTTACACCGCCCAACAATGTTGGTTTATATTTTCTACCATTCATTAATAATTTATTTATTAAATTATTTACATTTATCCCAAAGTTGCATCTTCAATATAGAATTGTTTTTTTAGTACAACACGTGGGGGTGGGGAATCAAACTTACAGCTTCTTTAGAGATATATGTCAATTATCGGTGAGCTATGTTTGCTTTGGCTTCAATATACAATTATTGTCGTACTCCCCAACATATTATTTGATCAAAATTTTCACTAAAGTCGTTTCCTATTAAAAGGTAACAAGACAGAGAAACTAATAAAGTTATTCTCGTGTTTATACTTTTTCAAGTCAAATATTATTAACAAATAACATAGTACAATATGTGGTGGGAGATTTGAACCTTCAACTCTATATATATATATAAAAGAAAAGAAAAAAGAGGTATAAACAAACACAAATCCATATGCATTTGGAGAGATGGGATTGGGTTTGAGTTTTTGGGACTTGGCTTAAACAGAATCAGAAAGGATTGTTATAACCTTCCATTTTGTCTACACAAATCTGCCTCTAATTACAATAATTTCCTCCCTCAACTTTAGTATATTCGGTTAAAATATGGGCAGAAGGTGTTGGGCTTTTACGGATGAAAAATGGGCCAACCAGTGGGCGGACCGTCTTGGGCCTTCATGAAAAGAAGAATTGGGCCCAATCTTCTTGGGCAGAAAGTGTTGGACCTTCATCAGAAGGGAAATGGGCCTTGCTCCCCAGTTTGGTTCAACTCCAAAAATGTATTTCAAACTTCATTTAGAAAAACTTTGGCTATTAATGTAACTAGCCATTTGTAAGGATTTCCCTATTTTCTACCTTTGGAGATCCATTATGGGTGGAAGATGACAATCTTGGTTATCTAAACAAAGAGCTTGTTTGATAACGTTGCATGTTACATATTTCACGTTTTTTATTTTAGTCAACAAAAATAAAATTAGAATGGGTTAACTATTTATTTTTATTGAAAATCAAATCGAGACATATTTGGTACTTATTTCATGTTCTCTGAGATTTTAGATTAGAAGTGTAAAAAATTTATATAAACTTTTATTTTTATAATTAAATTATGAAGTTTTCTAGGATGGGATTATTTTTCAATATTTATTATACATTTTATAATAAAATATTAAAATAATCCTTTTATAATTTTGTTACAAAATTTTAAAAATGTTTCTTAAAAATAGAAACAAGAAATAATAACAGTTATCCAACACTTACATTTTCAAACGAATTGAAAATAAAAATTTGAACCTTATGAAATGAGTCTGACTCATATTTTCTCGATAAAATAGGTTTTTTTCGTATATTTTAGATTAGGCTTCTATTACATCCATTTTGCTTGCTTCATTTGCCTATTCATCAAGCTATGGTAAGTATAACAAACAGCAATGTCGTGACCAAATTGCTTAGTACTACATTACTAATTCTTTTGGGTTTATTTTACCATACATGATACAAATGCACATCACATCAGTCAAAGCTTAAAACTTAGCTCTCGTCAACTGGTTATCAAAAGTCTTGAGTTCAAATCTTTACTTCACATGTTGTTGTATTTTAATTAAGAAATTAATTTTGAGAAAATTTAAAAAGAGAAAATGTCATATAAGAAAGGGATTTCCTAATTCCTCCTTTATAATTTCTAAGAAAATTGTAGAAACTTAGAGTTTTCTTTCTTTTGATGACTTTTTTTTTCTCATCTAAATTTCTATCAATTCACAATATATTATGTTACGCAAGTTTATCGTCAATCAGTTATAATATTCACTAAAATTTAGAGATTAAATTATAAACGGTTAAAATCCATGTACCGACTCTATTCACTTATTTATTGCGTAGAAACTATCAACACACAACCACTAAGATACAAAAATTAAAATTTTTTGACTAATTAGAAATAGATTGAGAAAATATYAAAACACCGAAAACTAAAACATATGTTTATCCTTACTTTCAATACCTTGGAAATTTCACCCATACGCTAATTAAAAAGTTTGATGGATTCAAACTTTTCCATGTTTTTCAATACGCAATTATTTTTCTATGGAAATTAATTGTTCATCTTTCTCCTTTTCTTTGTTTGTTTGTTCATCATTGTTATTGTCAATGCTTTATAAAAATCCAAGTTGGCCCAAAAAAAATTTCCCTCCACAAAAGTTGACTTTGATCAAGTTGTCATCCACAAAATATGTCTTATCAATTTAATAAGAGGGAAATTACGTGAAATTGGGACCCCCCGTTAGCCATTGCCTTTTATTTTAGGTACTTTTTGGCGTAAAGTTTGTGGTGCAATAAATTAAGCAGATGAAGAAAGCCGCTGCAACTTCTGAAGGACAATTTTGGCCCATTATAGTTATCGTTGCATTAATGGCACATTTCAGAGTCACCGTTTTGAGTTTATAAATATCTGAATTAGGTATTTTATTTACTGTTTTAACGAACAGTCTAAAGAATGGAACATAGGCCGACATAACGTAAGATCCCYAATTGCCTTCGGCATCGAATTTTCATCTTTTCTTTATTTAAAAAAAGAAAGATGTTATGATCAAAGTGATATASTTCAGTGACATATAYGAGAAATATATTAAAAAAAATTAAGAGTTATCAAATTATTTTTATTTTTTCCAGCCAAATCAAATGGACTTAAATTTGTTTCCTAAAACTATTTATAGATTTTGTAGTTCGTAACTTTTGAAAATAATAATTATATATTTTTTTAATGTTTTTAAATTTTATATTTTTGATAAGTATACTATTTCATATTATAAATTCATCTTATTTTTATAAATTATATAATATTATAAATAATAATTATACAAAATTTATAATATTTGAACTAAAATATTTACTTTGTAGGAAAAAAAAAAGATATAAATGAATTATTTGTTTTCCAATCACCAATCAAACTATCACTTGTTTATAAGTTTATTAAGTCAAGAAGCTTATGCTTGTGAGTTGCGTTAAATATATAGTGTTTGAGATAACTTTTGAAAAATGTGATTTTTAAATGAAAAAACTCTTTTTATCAATAATTTTAGAAGAATTACTCATTTAGAAGGTGTTTAGTATAGCTTTCTAAATTTTAGATAACTAAAAGTATTGAACAAAAAATCTACCCGATTTTGTAATAAACTAAAAAATATATTTAAAAATGGATTACTTTTGAATTTTTTCTTTTTAATATGAGAAGATTATTAAGAAAGTGATTTGACATTACAAAGGTTACTAATAAAAAAAAAAGAAAAAAAGAAATAGACTGCTAAGACTAAAAGATAGATCAAAGTCACCCATCCTCAATAATGGTAAAAATTTAAATAGTTCCAAAAAAAAAAAAACCTGAATTGGAGTAGCCGGGTTCTAGTTTTATGGTTGGTAGTTAATATGTAATCCAAATTAAGCAAACCCATATGATTTTGACTTTTTGACTCTTCATTCCACAAATTCAACTACCAAAGTCAATAGCTCTTATCCTGGACTGAAACTTTTCTGGGAAGTGAAACAGCAATTGCGATCAGATTCAAAGACCCCCAAAAACTCTGGAAAGAGTCAAGTAAACTGAAAATTTGCAAGTTTGGAACTTGAATGCTTTTGTATAATGCCATACTAAATGGGTTGTCTGCAGAAAAGCCTCTGGCAGAATCAAGAACTCTCTTTGAGGCATTTCTACAAACACATTACAGACTGACAAAAACAATAACAAAATTGGCAATAGAACATAGCAATCTGAATCTGAATCAGAGAATCAAAGAGGAAAACAAATCAGACAGATGCATACAATTCTGGAACAAAAGAAAACCACCTGAAACCACAGCTCCATCTCTCCGGTAGAGAAGGGCATTTGGGAAGCCAATGCCAAGTTCTCCGGCAAAATTTGTAGTACAAAATCTCCGGCCAGGTGTAGCAGCAGAGACAGATGGTTCCCTGATGCCAAAAGCAGTACACATGCTCGTAATTGTGGTAACAAATCGACATGAACTTCTTACAAATCATCTGTGGCACGCTTTCCACTTCCAACCAATTCCCCTGTTCCGAAAATTCCCATAATCTCAAGCTCCTCGAAATCCCATTCCTCCCAATTCCACCGATCATATACAATTTCCTATCTCCATCGCTCACCAATCGAACAAACGTGAGCTCCTCAGGCATTACGATATCGGTTTCCTCCCACTCACCATTCTCCAAATCGAAGGAAACTATAGAAAACGGTTCTGGCGTAACGAAATACAAACGTCCTTTATAGCAAGCAGCTTCTTGGCGATGCTTATCCCCGAGAATCGGCTCGAAATTGTCGAATTTCCGCCAGGAATGATCCCTAGAATCGAAGACCAGAGCGGAAAGAGGAGACGAACCGGGGAAGAGCGTGAAAATCTTGTACCCTAGGGGCACGGAAACCAACGTCAGGAGCTCGAATGCGAATGGATAATAGGGAAATTCGATAACTCGCGACGATTTGGTCAAGAGATTGCAAACAACGAAGGAGCAGGAATTGCGGAGAGAGAAGCAAACAAGGCCATTAGCGGTGGAAAGAAGAGCAGTAGAAGGAATGGCGGAGGGAACCGAAACGGAAACGGAGATCGGCAGGCTCCGCCAAGTCCCGAGAGCAGAGTCGTACAGAGGGAACTGGCGGAAACATTGGGGATGCGCGAGCAAGAGGAACGAAGAGAAAGAGGAATCCGAATGCTTGGAGACGAAAGAAGGAGAATACAACAGAGAATCAAAATGCTTGCAAGTGGATCTTAGGTTAAAAAATGTTCTGAGAGGGAGAAGAGAGAGTACGTGATCGAGAAGTTCCGGCGGGAGTTGGCTCCAGATTCCGGGATCCATTCCCGGCGACAGGGAGGCCGCCGGAGAAGGAACGTCCTTGTGTTTGGCGGTGACACTGAACTTGGAAAGATATTTGAAGCTCCGGGATTTTTCTCTGGTTCTCATATCTGAAATTCTGAAACACAGTAATGGAGATGCAAAAACTGCAGAGGGGCTAAGAAGAAGATGAATGCAGGGGCGCCCTTTACATACCAAAGGGCAAAATTAATTAATTTACAAGAAAACAAAAATATCAAATGGTTCGCTTTTCTTTAAAATATTCGTAAATATGCTATTTTTTTTTAATTAAGATTTAAACTTTCAAAATTGTTTTGATTTTTTAGCGAGGTTTATTATTGTCTTTAAACTTTAAAATCTAACTATTCCAGTGTTTTTCTCCCTTTTAATTTCAACTTATTAATAACTAAACTTTGAATATGTATTTTAACGAATTAAAGTGAATAAATGTATTCAAATCAAATAGGTTACTTAAATATTAGATGACAAAATAATATAACAATCTCCCAAAAGTTTAGAGACTATAACAATTATTTTAAAGTTAACCGATTAAAATATATATTTTGAAAGTTTATAAACTAAAATGAAAACAAATCTCTATAGGTTTAGAGATCAAAATAGAATTCAATAAACTTTAAACTAATGGGATTATGTTTGAGTTTTTTTTTTCTTTTCTTCAACCTTATGATAATAACTATATGTTAACAGATAGGAAACAACAATGGAGGAGTTCGAACATAGGACCTCCTATTCTAATATCATCTTAAAAGTGAATAAATCACCACTCAATCCAAAAGTTTAAACTCATAGGTAATAAATTTAATTCATATATTAGATATCTAACCATAATTATAGTAAAATTCTTTAAAAAAAATAGTAATTACTTATTAACATATAGCATTCATAGGAATTATTCATGGACTTATATATTAAGATGTTGTGGATAAAGCCACAGCGTACTCCTTGTTCAGGTTTATGGCTTCAATATGTTTCTCAATGGACAGAGAAGATCGTTGAGATATAGTCTACAGATAGACTTTCCATCATACTCCGCTTAATATTTTTAAGCTAATCTAAAGTTTCACTTTTTTAGCCTTTTAAATGCTATTTTTGTTGATTTATATATTGATGTATGATTTAGATTCGAACTCCAATGTCAAATATTTTGACGATAACCATCTAAACATATAAGAGATTTGTTGGTCGATGGAGACTACGTCACTAAGTCCAAAATGTAAAATTGTAAAACTTTCCGGTCTATCTTCTTATTTATACACGAAGTATTATTATATTGGTTTTAGTGTACCTGCTCGATCAGGTTCGGTTCAGCTTAGTCTGGTCCAATCGAGTGGTCATATCCAAATGATTTGACACAAATGACTCCACTCACGTCGCTTCTTTTATCTCACTTCCAGTGCAACATTATAGACATTAAATATTAAAATATCATAGAAATGAATCATATTATTGGGAGTTGATAAAAATATCATAAAATATCTATATTTTGTTTTTCACTGATTAGTTTTCATCTCATAGAGATATTGGTGAAGATATCAAAAAATATCTGTCATGATCTATCACTTATCAATCGCTGGAATATTTCAACATCAGACCTATATTTCAAAAAAGTACATAAAACATATCAAACACATTTTAATTATTTTTCAAGCTTTGTAAAAAAATTAATAGTTATCCTTAAGAAAAAGAAAATAGATAATTACTAGTGAAATTTCAACAAACTTACTTGCTTAAAAAAAAAAAAAAAAACTTACTAGATTTTATTATTATTATTATATATATATATTTTTTTAGTTTGACTCAAAATAAAAAATTTCTATACTAAAAACAGATGTTAAAGATAGCAAAAGGGTAAAATTATAAATTTAATTGGTAAACTATTAATATTGTAGAAATTTAATATTTAAATCCTAAAAGGTTTGAATTATATTTTAGAAAAAATTAGATAAAAATGAAGGAATTTTGGGAACCATCTCACCATAAGGTCTCTTATCTCTTATTTGCTATAAAACAAATTTTCATACTCCCAAAAATTGTCATAATTTACCCTTGGCATAATAAATCATATTATTGCGTTTTTTGGGTTAAACATTTTATTCAATAAAACTTTAGTGAAATTTTTCATTCCCTCAATGTTCCTTTTGATTTTAAACTAAAGAGATAAAAAAAAAATGCTCCCTTTTAACTTGTAATTAATTTTAAGAAAAATTGCATTATTTGGGTAAGGAAGATAGTTCATAGTTTATTAAGTCTAGCAACAAATTTCAAGGCTTTCAATTGAATAGAATTAGAATTTTGTTAATATAATTGAAAATAGACGAAGTAAAATTCTACATAATAATCTTATGTTAATTATACTTTGGCGATTAAATAATCACATATGAATATTGAATTTTTTTTTTCTAAAAACTTATAGATATGCGTATTGAATTTTTTTTTGATACAGATATGTATTGAACTTAGTACAACATACTAAACTAGTAATTAATTTTGTATTAACTATTGATGCATTATGTCAAGATTCCACCATCTTAAACAATTCAATGTCATGATTCTACTCTTAATGACGAGTGGTAGACTAGTACTCTAACCCAAGAGACTTCTATTTCAAATTCTTCCTGATGCAAAAAATTTTGGATATGTATTGAACTTAGTACAACAGTCTAAACTAGTAATTAATTTTGTATTAACTATTGATGCACTATGTCAAGATTCAACCATCTTAGACAATTCAATGTCATGATTCTACTCTTAATTACGAGTGGTAGGCTGTTACTCTAACCTAAGAGACTTCTATCTCAAATTTTTCCGGATGCGTCAGTGTTAAAAATTAGTACAAACATGTGTTAGTTTATGTAAGTGTTTCCACATTTTAAGAATTAGAGGAATTTAAGGGTAGTGGTATTTTTAGTAGATTAGTGGTGGGTTTTCTTATTTCCATAGAACTTCCTTCATATGGTATGACTTCCACTTTGTTGTTCCATTCAAATAAATTAGAAAAATCGACAAAGAGAAAGAAAAGAGCTTCGACACTCGAGTTTATAGGAGCCTGAAGTAATAAGTAATAAGTATTTGTTTGAATACGAGCAATTGGATGCATGTGCATGAGCCGATGAGAATTGAGAAGCCATTGTATATTGATGGTTTCGTGATACATTTTTCTTTATTATTATTATTATTATTTTAATTTTGGAGGGGACCAAAATTGCTTGGTGTCTCTCTGTGATAGCTTAAACTCATGGCTTTCCCTGCACGTTGCTCGGTTGGCCTCTAAGTAAACCGCCAACGAGTATCCTTTTCTTTTCAACTTTTTCTACAGCACGTTGCCTTTCCAAACAAAGTCGTATGCCAAAAGGCTGATTTGTTTTTTTCTTTTTTCTTTTTTCCTTTTGGTAAAGGTAGATCAAGTTTACAATCCATATAATTCTCTTTTTCCAAATCATGACGTATAGTTCTAGAACAAACCCAAGCTTTCCAATCATATGATCCCGAATCCAAGAAATTAAAACAAAGCTACCAAACTCGATGAAAAATGAAACGGAAAAAAAAAAATACTACACAGCCAACACAACATGCTGCACATGAGGAAATTACAAAATGAAACAAAGGGGTGGACTTTTCCCGAGTCCCCGCCCCATAGTGCACGTTTGAAAGAGAGACCGTAGAATCCATTGAAAGATGATACACGTCTGGAATATTATGTACATGGCGAGCAGAGTTTCAAGGATGGCATCAGCATTGAGACTGAACTTCCCGCCTGTCGACGACGATCAGTCGCTCCAGTTATCCTTGTTTGCCGTGGATTCCCAATCCTGCGTGTCCACTGAAATGGAATAAGCTACCATCGCTCGTATTATTGGAAAGAAATGTAGAGTCAACTTGACTCCATGCAGTGATACGAGTCCAGAAGACGTACCAGTTCGGTAGAGTTCCGGGATGGAGACCAGACAAGAATTTGCCTATCGTTGCCACCGGTGTACAGTTCCTGAGGCACATTGCTAAACTTTGAAACAACTTTATAATTTGTTCCACTGACAGACTTTCCAATTTCTGTTGAATCAATATAATGGCTGCAGCATATGATTGATGAATGCAGAGACGGAAAGAGAACGACAGTCGTACCTGATCTGTGAAACTATACCAGCAACAGTTCACGCCTTCATAATGGCCGCTGAATGTCAGGGATGTCTTCCCTGTCCACATATCAAATGCCTAAAAGTTCAAGAAGTCAACTAGATTCATATGTAAGCTGTACGCACAGAAACAAACTGAAAGATATAGGAAGGAGTATGTACTTTAACAGTTGTCATGCACGGAGCAAATACAAGGGCTGAATCTTGAGATGTAGCTAATTGCAATGGCTTATTGATTTGTAACCGGCCCGTTTCATAGTTTACAAGAGTATTGCACCCAGATTCAACATCCCACAACCTTAACCTTGAATCAGAACCTGGAATGAAAATGGAGATGAAGAGCGAATACAGATTTGCATCAGTATCGTTTTGTCCTCTTTTGTTTTTTTTTTCTTTTTTCTTTTTGGTGTGGGGGCGGGAGTGGTTGGGGCATACAATACTACAACATGGCCACCTCAACTCCAACTGATTGTGGGAAAAGAAAATCCTAACAAGATGAGATTGCTAATGAATTGGCAATCAATAGATCTAATTATATCACAAAACAGTTCATATCAGGTTAGAGGGTCTAATTTAATCCTCCAACAATCATTATTTGTTAGAATAGAATTAATGCAGATCTTGTTGTTGATATGACAACATACCTATCAGCATCATTATCACCAAGATGTAGGTACATGGCTACCAATTATGTCTTCTTTTTTAATCAAAACCTAATGGCAATCTCTTTCTAAATTTCCCTCATGCCTCAACAATTCACTAACTTTTTCCTCCATCTAAACATGATGTCCTGCAGCCACTTTTACTCAGGGAAACCACACCTTTCTACAGATTATTAACTCTAGAAATATTAATATAATGAATTAAACTGCAATTAATTTGGTTGGAAAAAGTTGACAGAGGAACCAGACCTGCACTGAGAAGGTACATGCCATCTTCAGTCACTTTTAATCCACTAACAGCACCAAAGTGAGCAATAGATCGATCCTGACTGGAGAAAAGTCCTGGGTGTAGCCTTTGCCTTGTGGATCCCTTAGCTGGCAGTTTACCTATAGATGATGGCTTTGTTGCATTTCCATTGGCTAGTTTCTTATGAGGCATGCGAGATTTCATATTTGATCCTTGGCTGGCCGAGAGGGACTTGGATGTTGATAGCTGAGAAAGAATAAAATGACAATTGTTAACTAACAAACAAACGAACGGGTGGATACTAAGAGGGCCAAACTAAATGGAGTGGAAGATAGAAGAGTGAAGGGGAACCTTATTTGTTGCAGAAATAGGTGGACGCCTCCCAAGCTGGGACTGAAACTGATCCAGAACGCGAAAACATCCAGCTCGTCTAATGTCCCAAAAACGTATTGCTCCATCACATCCGCCAGTAACCAAAACCCATTCACTAGAAGCTGACCATTCTACACTCATTACACCATCTATAAAATGATAAGACCAACATTAATGTCTATAGATATAAACTTTCATAGATAAAATAAAAGGTAGGCAGAAGAACAGAAAACATGATAGAACTGGTCGATGAATGAATTTCATACCATAACCAGGTGTGCAAATTGTAGGACAGGCAAAGTACTACATAATCTTACAGAAAAATTAGACGGCAAAGGACATAGACCACAGTTCAATACCACAATAAACCTCTAGTTTTATCACTTCTGTAGGAATAGGATGAAGATAAGATGTAGCTGTTTCATCTTTCTTTCTTTACATTACAGTTATGTTCTCTAGAAAGAAAGCATTAGAGTTGCTAGTTGCTCACCTTGTCATATCTTTAATTATGTTAATTAAGGTAGCACTGATTTTAGTTTCCTTTTGTTTTTTTGGGGAGGGTGAGGATCCGTAGTGAAATTAATTATGCCCAAAAACTCTACAGGATAATAAATTGTCAAGCTCTTAAACTGTTGTTTTGCTTCCCATACCGTATCCTTGCTCAAAATCATAAAGTATGGATATGATCCACAAATTGATTAAAATTAGGGATTGCAATTGTTATAACACTTCGAAACTAAAACAATGTGGTACAACTTAAATAGGGCAACCCACTCTCTTAAAATTAAAAGTATAGACCATCACCATACCACGATGTCCAGATAATGTGTGAGAAAATGCCCCCGAGGAAATATCACAAAGGCGAACTTGAACATCTTCTGTTCCAGCAGCAATGAGCATGTGTGATGTTGCCAAAGAGGACATGGCCGTCCTATAGACTTTTCCGGGCAATTTAAAATTCACGACCACCTATAAGATGGAAATATTAGTTTAAAACAAATATTGTTGTGTAAAGTCCACATGACCTCTAAGTTGCCAACCTGAGTTGTATTTGTATCCCAGACATTAATGTGATGATCATATGACCCAGTGACAAACAACCCGGTATCGATGGGATACCATATGGCCGAGGATATTGCATATTTATGTCCCTGTTCATGCTGCTTATCAACTGCAAAAATGCATTGGTGCTTTGCAATAAGACCCTCAGAATGAGTTGCACGTTGAATATCAAAGACAGCAGCAGATGCATCTGATGCTCCAGATAACAAATATCTCCGCTCTGTCAAATCAACCTGATTTCATGATCCAGAATGTCGGTGCTAGCAGCTCTTATTAGTTTTATAAGCATGTCATGAAATCTGAACAGAGATAGCTACTAAAGAATGAAATCAAACAAAAATCAAGCTTAGAAATCCAGACACTAAATTATGTCACCAATGCCAAACTCTATTTCTTCTTTAGTAACCGTGAGTATTCGAGCGGACTTACATGTGCCTCAACTAGTCTCAGGGCACAATACGCTTGACTCTACAATATTTGATGTCAAGGAACTCATAGAATATTTGATATCCTAGGATAGATGGCCACCATGGTTTAAACCCATGACCTCAAAGACCATATAGCTTTACAATTTTTGCCTCTTTGACCATTGGGCCAACCACGGTGGTTCAGCTACAAGGCCATACTCGACCTAAAAGAATATTGAAATTCAGAGAAACAGATGAGGTAAAATAAATATAAAATAGTGTCGATAGAGTTATCAACGGAAAAATAATTACAAAAGACACCAATGTCGATCTGATAAAATGCTAAAGAAAGTAGCATTACCCTCTGCAGTTCTCCACTAGGGGTTTTTACAGAATTAGTTTTTTCCAAAAAGTAAACGACTAAGTCCAATTACAAACTCAGTATCTTTGAGAAAGGTCCAAAATGACTAAAATTCTCTATAATCAACAAAGGAATTTGGCATCCTTACTCCTGATACCGGCTTAGGAGAACACAATCAAGAACATAAAGTCATACAATGACCTTCTTAAGACGTTGAAGTATTAAACAGCCATCTCAGGAATGATTTTACTACAATCGTCATTATTCTTTTTATTACTTCCACGTATTTCAGCTCCTTGTGTTCCCTACTTTCTGTTATGTTCGTTCACCTTTCATATTCTGCCACTTTTGTGGGTTTTCAACAAACTTTAGTCTGTTGATAATTCGTCCTCTCAGAATCAGTGCCTAGGTCATTCACCAATTTTAACTTCTTTCCTTAAATGTTCTCTCCTCTATCTCTACCGGTTTGAGCTTCACGGTGTCGGAGCATTAGGCTTCTTCTCGGAAGGAAAGAAAGAAAACAAAAGAAGAAGAAGAAAGAACCCGAGAAAAAATGAACAATGGCAAATCTCTTTTCTGGTTATGGGTCTTCCACCATCAACGGACAACATCAAATTCCAACTACAACGATAAAACCTAAAATCCCAGCTACACAGGTTCGAAGCTTTGGGACTAAGCATATCGCGCAGAAACGAATACTGAACGAAAATCCACAAACTAAACATTTCCTTTCCTTTTTCCCGCTGCTCAATTAACAAAAATGAACACAACCCGAGAACCATAGTTAATTATGACAAGCGTGAGACTAAACATATCGTGCAGAAATCACCAATTCGCAATCCGTTAATAAACACAAACAAATAACCCCGCACCAAAAAGAAAAGGGTTGACAATGAAAAGGTTTAAATTCTACTCAGATAATACGATCGAACAATTTCCAACTTCGTTAACTTGAATCCATTAGAACCCAATATGTTATGATTAAAAAAATAAAGAAAAAAATCGAAGATTACCTGAAGTGAGTTGACGGAACCTCTATGGGGAGAGACAATGTCCTTGTGATTGGAAAGTTGCAGAGTGCTGATTCGATCGGATTTAAGACGATTTGCGAAAGAATTTGGGCGGAGTTTTCCCGCTTCTCTATCTCTAATATTCTTCCACATTCTCCAAGCATCTTTGCCCTCATGCAAAAACGCTGTATCTTCGTCGCTTTCTCTATCTATTTTCCTGCAACAGTATCTTCTCCCACTTGATTCCTTCAGACGCAGAGCGGTACAAGCTATCAAAGTCCAAGAATATGTACCCTGCGAAACCCCAATTCCGAGGCCACCAATTGAAGCTTCTTCAACTTTATTCGTCCCCCACCCACTGTTCCTTTCTCTTGATCCGCTGCTCTCTTCTCCTCCTCTTTCGTTATCTCTCTCTCTCAATTATTATTGCCAATTGGGAGTTGGAGAGAAGGAAGATGATCGATTTGGGCTTCCGTGGGACGACCGCTGGCAGATCCAAACTTCATAATACGCACACGATACGTTTTGGGCCAACTCCTTGTCTTGATCTGACAAAGAAAAATAAATAAATAGATCGAAGCTTAGATTATAAGCCGGGGATTTCAACTTCGCCCATTGCTCATATCAGCTATTATAACTTTTAGTTCATGTATTTTGAAAGTTGGATCTAATAATATTTGAAAAGTGTATTCGATGGGTGATGAATTTAATAGATTTTTAAATCTTCAATTTTGTGTTAAATAGATTTTTAAAATACATATTGTGTCTTGTAAATTAAAGACTTAGGTACACATTAAAATTTTGGTGACCTATTGAATACAAAGTTAAAATTTCAATAATTTACTAAGACATTTTTTTGTCAAAAACGAATATAGCTCGGTGGTAATTGACATACGTCTCTAATCAACTTACTAGACATTTTTTTGTATTTAGTTATAAGATACTTTACCATAAAAAATTATAAATTTATAAGATAAACTATTTTTATTCTCATACTTCAATAAATTTTAATTTGGTTTCAATCTAATCGGAGCATAATTTGGTAAATAAACTTATAATTTAAACTATATTAAATTAGTTTAAATTTTATGTTAGTCTCGGCACTTTTAACTTTTTTTTCTTTTATAATTATTATTTTTGACATACCTTAATACATTTTTATTTTATTTTATTTTAATCTTAACACAATTAAGTAAATAAGATGCTAATTACTTTTCTTGAGTCTAAAGATCTAATTTGATTCACATTTGTGTTTAAAGTAATCATACATGATAATGTCTGAACTTGTCAACTCACATCAGAAAAAAAATTTCATGGTAAGTAACGTGTCAACATTGCAATTTTGTTATTTAATGAAACCACATTTCTTTTAGCATAATAAGCGGGGATTCAAACTCATGACCTATTGGTAAAAGACGTGTATCAATTTTTGGTAAGCTAGACTCATGTTGACGAAACCGAAATAATTGAATCAATAGTTTTTTTTTTTTATGATTTCTAATGAGTTTTTTATTATACCTAAAAAGACAAAAAGTTTCATTACTAAATATTACAGGTTATTATCCGAAGTCAATAACAAAAATATAAAGCATTTGACTAATTTAATCTTACTTTTTCTTAAGTAGGTGTTTTGGCTCCACTTTTGACTTTTACTCTCCTAAATTAAAAACGGTTGATTTGGTAGGTTACAAATAAACAACTCGATTAAAGAATCTACTAATTCTTTCCAGTAAAATAAGAGGTTCAAATCTTCTACCATAATTTTTTATACTTAGAACAAAAAAAAATTATTATGTAGCCATTATTCATTTATTTATTGTTATTTTTTTGTGGGAAAAAAAAATCATTGAGCCCTCAAGGAATAAAATTTGTCCTCCAAAGATCCTCTACCCAATGAACAAGAGGAGTAGACCAACGGAAAGATTTTATATGGGAATGGACATGTTTTTTTGCGATGCTGTGAGGTACAAGTAGAGCTTTGAAACATCTAAAATTCTTACTCAGTCCTCTTAAACTAAGCACTTCTTCGGATTCTTCTGATTTTGGTTTTCTTAGTACAACAAAAGAGCGAAAATTTTAATTACCTCAAACATTTGGGAGAGTAAGTAATACTTTAACTAGGTGTTGAGCATGTCGGTGATTTTTGTATTTTTTAAATGCTCTATCTTCATTTTGATATTTTACACAATATTTCATTTTAATTTTATCTTTTAATTACAACACTACCAAGAGAGAGAGAAAAAAAGTCACATAGATTAATTTCATTAACATAAACTAGATGTCGGGCGGGCTACATTTGTTAAACAATCATTCTCGCCTCCAATTCACAACCAAAAAGGGCAATTTTCAATCCATAAAATAAAATACGAGAATTAGTCACTTTGTTTTTCTCTCTTCCCACGAGAGCAACTTTTCTCGATTCATCTTGAACTACAAACACTCACACCAGCCTATAATCGATCATTGGATGCAAATAGATTGCAAATTATATTTCACACTTTAACTCACCCATTCATTACATATCAACATGCTTTAACACTCATCTTCATTTGTCACTATATGGATCCGCCTTTAACACACGACCTTCTATTTTAATACTATATAAACCTCAACTAAACCCAAAATTTTATGAGTACTTATTACAAAAAGAGAATTTTAATATCCATTCATACAACATACTCTAACAAGTATGACTTAATTGGTCAAATTCAAATTGCAATATTCTACAAAATAAACAAGACGACAAAAAAGAACATAATGAAGAAAAGGAGCAAGTTGAAACATGAAGTAAAATGTAAACCATCTATTTTTGTCACAATTGTTTCTTACAATGGCATCAAAGTGAGGTGTGAAGGCTTGGAAACTTATGCTCCATCACGTGAACTGTCAGCGGGGCTTCTCAATTGCAATTCTTGCAACCACCCTTGCGCGGCTACGCCCCAATGCTATGGCCCTATGATTGACAGCGCAGATTGTTATTTGCTGATGGGTCAACTACAAATCATTATAATGGTCGATTTTCAGTACAAACAAACATAAATTCTTGTTCAATAATGTCTTCCACATAATGTTTGGCATTTGGCAATAATAATTGTCAATTTTCCAAAGCTTCTACCGCCACTGTAATTGGGTCAAATTGGAGAAGATGATGCTGCACTGATCGACTGAAAATGTTCGAAACGATGGGTTTGTGGGGCTCTCTGTTTCCTTCAGAGCTGTAAGGATTCTGAGTTGCAGAGCGCTGGAGAGAAGCTCTCAGTCGCAACCCCATTCATGTCAGAAACTCGTTTTGAAAAATGGCGCATAGCGACAACTTCAAATCTCAGACCCACCTCTCTCGGTTTCTCTCTCTCTTTCTCTACTCTTTCGGCCCAGACCATCTGGTGGACATTAATAATGAACTTTGTTTGTTCTCGAAATGTTGACAAAACTGTATTGTTCATTCGCTGCAGGAGTTCGAGTTTTCATTTTTTCTGCTGTGGTTCTGTTTTAAAGAACTGATTGGGTTTTGAATTTTAGGTCGAAGCGGAGGAGAAACGAGGGTGAAGTTTGAAATTGAATCGCCTTTTTCGGCGGTGATTAGTTTGCTTTACTGTTTTTGCATCGTTTAGCGTGTTTGACGTCTGGAAACAAAAAGTAGTAGGGAAAAGGAAGAAGTTCAAGGATTAGTCAAAAAGTGATTAGCAACCATGATCTGAAGTAAACGAACGCCAGGTGTTTGTTTAAATGCCTAAGCGACATTTTTTTCTTTCTTTCTTTTTTTTTTTTTACAGTATTCTTGTTCTTAATGCTGTACAGTGTTTTTACTCATAACGCCCATTCGATTCAATCTGACAGGTGGGAATATCACGTGCTGTTCATTCCATCAGCGGCCGCTCCACTGTTTGAAAGGCACTTGGAATAAAATTAATAGGTGAGATTGTTGGTGCTTTTTTAGTAATTTGTGAAGCTTAACCCATACTTTATGACAAAAAATCATTAATTGGTTTAGCTGTTTGACGAAAATATTTTTGCACCAAACTCAAACTCAATATTTTATTTTTTCTCGGATATCATCAACCGAGTGGTATTGGCTTCTGACTGTATGTAGAGAATAGGATATACAGTTTCTGCCTTCTGGGTAACTTTAATAAATTATAAAGTCACGAACTTTTTCATCAAAAGATTAAAGAGCAACCGAACCCGGCAAACTTCAAACCAGTGGAGAGAGAGTAGACTGAGAGAATCCATAGGCATCTGCGACACTGCCAGGCACCTGTGCCCCTACAGATACAAGGTCCATTCCAACATAGACAAAGGACCTTTCTGCACTAATAATGTCATCATACACAAAAAAAGAGAGAAGAATAGGAAAAGCCCATGTCAATGTAAGCAGCAGATGATTCAGATCTCAGACTCGAAAACCATCACATGCTTTGCACTGGATGAGCTCGAACGAAGAAGGATCAATTGCTTTAGGCTAAGAATCCAAAAAAGGAGACTGGGGAAGAGTGGAAGTTCTCCCGGTGGTGGGTTTCCATTTCAAAATCTCGTCTAGATTCTGAGTTTTAGTATTTTTTTTCTTCTAAGGAATAAATCCAAAAATCTGCACTCGTCTTGCTCGTGTCGCCCATTTCATCTTCTTTCTTGTTTCCCGCACTATTGTCTTGTTATTCGTTGTCATCCATCAAACGTTACTGTTTGCCCCTAATTTTTGTATTACCGAGCTTCTATTCCTCCATCTTCTTCCCACTGGTTCATTGCAGAACTTGTACAGGGCGTTTCCCATATGGTAAAACGAAGGTCTTTTTTTCCAGTCTAGTTTACTCGAAAATTAAATCCGAGTTCTAATACAACTCAACACACCCTTTTTGCCTGACATTTGTATTTCCAAGTCAATCACTCCGTAGGGTGGCTTGAATTTGTTCATGAATGAACTCGAACCATTTACAGATATTATTTTGTAATTTCATTTCTAGCGCAAACCCACGGGGGAGAAGAATAATTACCTGAGAAAGTGAATCTCCCATCGCATTATCAGCAAAGATCATCAAAGTTCTCAGCCCATTCTGGAAAAATGCTGTGCGCTTGCTCAGGAGAGCAATTTAAGTTCGAAGAGCCACCACAGTCACCAGAGTCACTTGCAACGAGGGATTTCTCGGCCAGTTGCCTTTCCTCGAGAACTGGAGACTGGGATTCAAAATTTGAAGATTCTCAAGTAGATGAAGTTGAATCCACTTTAAGAGAAGCCCTCTCATTAAACTACGAGGTGCGTTTATTTCTCTATTAAAATCTCCGTGACCAGATAAGCTCTTTATTTTCTTGTTTTCTCTGGCTCCATCTTCTTATGAGATACCATTCAATTCACTGTCTAATTAGGAAGCCAGAGCTTTGCTGGGGAGGCTTGAATATCAAAGAGGAAATTTTGATGCTGCCCTTCAGGTATTTCAAGGTATAGACATTAGATCTTTAATGCCAAGAATGATAAAGGCAATCGCTGAAAAGAGTAGGGAGGAAAAACCTCGTCCTAAAGGAGACGGTGCACCCCCTAGTGGTGTAATGTCCATGCATTCTGTTAGTCTGCTTCTTGAAGCAATTTTACTCAAGGCAAAATCACTGGAGGAACTTGGCAGATATATAGGTAAATTTTCTTGCTCATTTTTCCTACTATAGTTTTATTTGATTTTGATGGCAATGTTCTGTAACCACCTTACGTCATGATTGGTTATAATAGATATTAGAGTTTCCCTTGTATATCAATCTGCTGTGCTATTGATCATAATTCTTTCCTGTTCATCAGAGTCTGCCAAAGAGTGCAGGATAATTCTTGATACGGTGGAATCAGCTCTACCCAACGGAATGCCTGAGTGCTTTGGTGAAGACTGCAAATTGCAGGAAATGCTTCAAAAAGCTTTGGAACTACTACCTGCTTTGTGGACTAAGGGAGGCCATCTCGATGAGGCCGTAAACGCCTATCGCCGGGCTCTTGTTAAACCATGGAATTTAGATCCAAATAAGTTGGCTGCCATACAGAAAGAATTGGTTGGCACATTACTTTATGGAGGTGTTGAAGCAAGCCTTCCGCTTAAGTTCCATGTATTCGGTCCAAGAACACCTAAAAATAATGTGGAAGAAGCAATCCTTTTGTTGTTAATACTCATGAGGAAAGTGGTGATGCAGGAAATAAACTGGGATCCAGAGATTATGAATCATCTGACTTATGCGCTTTCTATCACTAGACAATTTGAATTACTCGCTGAGCATGTGGAGCAGATCCTTCCTGGAATATTTAGTCGAGCTGAGAGGTGGTACTTTCTTGCTCTTTGTTACAATGCAGCAGGACAGAATGAAGCAGCTTTGAACCTTGTAAGGAAAGTTTGCGGTTTCTCTGAAGTAAAGAACAAACCCCATTTTCATTCTTTTTTGTTGCTTGCAAAATTGTGTTCAGAGGACACAAAATATGCAAGTGCTGGAATTGAAATTGCTCGTAGAATGATCGATATGGCCTGTGAAGAAAGTAAACACTTCACTTCTGAAGCCCACAAATATTTAGGTGTTTGCTATGGGAATTCAGCTAGAGCTTCTGTATCAGATTCTGAAAGAATTCTTTTCCAAAGTGAGTCATTGAACTCCCTAAGAGTTTCTTCTCTCAGTGGGAGGCATGACCCAGAAGTAATGTTCAATATTAGCTTGGAAAATGCTGTACAGAGAAATCTTGATGTTGCCTTCTACAGCGCAATGAGATACTCAAATATGGTGGCTGACGGTTCTGGAAGAGGGTGGAAGCTTTTGACGCTCATATTTTCAGCTGAGCAGCGATTCAAGGATGCCGAAACCATAGTTGATTTTGCTTTGGATGAAGCTGAGAGGACGGATCAATTAGATTTTCTTCGACTGAAAGCTGTACTCAAAATTGCTCAGGAGCAACCAAAGCAAGCAATAGAAACCTACAGAATCTTGCTGGCTCTAATTCAAGCACGTGGAGAACTTCAGCTTCAGGCTAAGAACTTTGACCAATCGAAAGACTTGGAGCTAGAGGTTTCCCCGCCTCTATATTGCTTCTATATTATGCTTGCACTCACTCCATGATACAGATAGTCATGCCCTGACGAACTTTCCTTTTACCATTTGCCACTTCAGGAAGAGATCAACAGCTTCTCAAACTTTAATTTCTTTTGCAGGCAACGAAAGAATGTAACTTGGAATGCGCAGCCTGGCAGGATTTGGCTGCCATATATGCAAAACTTGCTTCCTGGGCGGATGCAGAAATTTGTCTGAATAAAGCCAAATCATTAGATGTTCATTGCCCCAGAGGTTGGCATACAACAGGTAAAGCTTTTTTTTTTTTGCCTTTGTAACCATCTTAAATGTATCTTCAGTAATGAAATGGTTGGCAAGGCTACCAAGTTAAATATCCATGTCAGTATATAGTCGATGTTTGCTTACGTCGGATTTGACTGGAATGGTTGCAGGCAAGTATTTTGAAGCTCGATCATTACACAAGGAAGCCCTTGTTTCATTCTCAGTCTCTCTGTCAATCGATCCTGATTATGTTCCGAGTATCATCTCAACAGCAGAAGTGTTAATGAAATGCGGTAACCAATCGCTTCCGATTGCACGCAGCTTGCTGATGAATGCTGTAAGATTGGATCCTACCAGCCATGAAGCATGGTTCAACCTTGGAGTGCTGTCCAAAATGGAAGGTCTATTGCTACAAGCTGCAGATTTTTTTCAAGCTGCACATGAACTCCAGCTTTCTGCTCCTCCTCAGAGTTTCGTCTAAAAGAATATTTCTTTCGCCTTCGGAGTGGAAGAGTGCCAAGTCAGAATACTGAAGGCATTGGTTGTGTCACCAGTATATTCCATCAATCTTCATTCCTTCAGCATTCTTGATCTCACATAATTACAAAGCTGAAGGAAAGTTGGACCAAACCATCACTTGCAAGATTTTAGGCTAGAGAAATAGTTCCAAATTCTGCAAGTACAAATCAACTGATTTTGTATAGTTGAATCAAGGATTTAGTAGCGTATCAAGTAAATAGCATATTTTTGCAGTATTTTTCTTCCTAACAAGATCCAAAAAATAGCATGAACTTCATTCATCACCAGAATAGGAAATTGAAACGAGCAAGTAGTCAAGGATTGTAGCGAATTTCATGTTCTGTTACGTTCCATCTATAACTAAACATGATTATCATGCTCGCAGCTTGTATGCTAATTGATGAAGCATTGTTTGTTAAGCAAACCAAAAGATAAAAGTTGTTGGATGCGAATCTGTGATGTTTGAACCATGAGAGTCAAAGAACCAAAATGACTGGCAATGACTGCTCATCAGTCAAACCACCTGATTTGTCAAAGGAAACACCAGTCATTTACCAGTCTGGTGAACCCACCAAGGCCTGATTTCTGATAGCAACAGGTAACCTGTAGTTAGGAAAACTAGACAACATCCAAAATTATCAAAATTGACTCGCAATCTAAAAATTTGGAATCTTGTTACCGAGCTCAGCAAGCTTCAATCCTTGGTTGGGACTTGAGATGATTGCAGGATTTTGAACCAACGAACCACTCTCAAGTCTGATCAGATAACGTGTAAATGCCAACGATATCAACAGCAAGTTCGAACAAAGAAAAAACAAACCATTTTGAGCTTAACATATTCTCCATCCTGATACAAGATGATCCTTATCTAAAAGATTAAGTAGCATCTTGTTAGAAAAAAGAAAAAAGTTCTGAGACTTTTATTTATGTGAGAGTTTATTTTCGGGCATAATGCCTTAGTTGATAATCATCAGAGACCAGTTTTCTTCAAGAGAGTGAAACAAGGGAGTTGGTCCAGGAAAAGTTTCTGTACAGTAACTGCATATATATGATATGTAAATATAGAGATGACAAGTTAGAGTAAAATTTACATGGAAGATAAGTGTCAAAGAATACAAGTTTGCACACTTATTGTTTTCCTTGATTCATGAATAACAAATACAAGAGTGCAGTTTCTTCCAAGAACTTCTGCCTTGGAGACTTGGGGGTATAGACAAGTTGCTTGGCACAACAGGAGCACAGGAAAGCGGCCTATATAATCTTCCTTTCATTAACACTGCACGATTAAAATTTGCTTCTTAGTTTGGAATTGAACGAGATTCATCATATTGTAATGCTAGGGGAAATAGAAGTCAAAATTACATGAAGTAGAGATTATAACAATTTTACATTTATTCTTGTAAATGAGGTATTGAGATAAAGAAAATATAGGACTTCCATTCTGGCATAGGTCTTAGTATTACGAACTTCACTAATCTGACAATGATAGACATAGCTGCCAGAAAATTCACTTACAGCAAAAAAGATATGAAGCCAACAAGAGAGCACGACCTCAACCCATACTCCACTGCATCCACAACAACAAGAAGAAAGTTTTAAATTCACTTGCTATGTTATCCATAGTTTGCAAACAAGGTCTATCATTGACACGCTCCGATAATTTGCGTCTAAAGTGAAAAAACTTATCCGGTGGATGTATAATGGGATTGATTAAGCTATGTCACCAACCACAGTACATAAAATAAATATAATCGACCCTATTTAATATACTGTTAATAAACAAACAACAAGAACAACTGGTATTTGAATGACCTTAAGAACTGGTTCTCCTCTGTTAGTGTTGGCAGATTGCTTTGCATTTGCTGCCATCTGAGCACGTGCAGCTCTTCCTGCAGCAGACTTTTCAAATTCTTCTTGCCTGCAAATATTTATATCACTTATTTTATTAAAAAACAGGGATGAAAGTTCCTAATTTGATATTCGAACTTCTTCTAAAAAATTATCCAGAACAGAAGTGCTTCAATAGTACATGAATAGGCAACTAATGCATGCCAAAGTGAATTTTAGGGACAAAATTGGTGGGAGCAACCAACTCGTCTCAAATTTGAGTACGCCAAGCTTCTTTATCCTGCTTTCTTCCACTCGTTTACTCAGAATTTTGTTTCAAGCAAAAAAAGTTAGCTCTACTAACCTGAACATATTTTTGTTTTTTGTTTTTTCTTTAATATTAGTCTAATTTCAAAAACAAAAAATAAGATTTTGAAAGCCACATTTTTATAGTTTCTGAAATTTGAACGAGACTTGAATAAATGGTTTCACAATTTCATTTTCATATACAGTTTCATGTTTTGCGACAAAAGATCAATAAATCATTTCCCTGCGGAACTGTTACACCCCAGACCTAAATAATTAACGCTGATATGACAGAAGAACACAACGATCAAGGAAAGCCCTAACCAACATGATAAGCTTAAGCTGTTCTAATTGAAAAAGAATTGTCCAGAAATCCAGAAATTCTGAATGAAAGTTAAAGGTGAGGGGAAAGAACTTGCCTTCTCTGAGCGGCTTCAGCAGCTTTGGCGCGAGCTTCGACGGAGGACAATCTTTCTTCCTCTTGTCTCTGTTGCTTTTGGCCTTCGTCGAGGCAACCTAAGCATTGCCCCATCGCTTGCGCTCGCCGACGCCAGCGTTTTGGGTTTCCCCCAAAAGTCCCGATTCGGTATTTTCACCATCGATTTTGACTTTCTTGGAATTCGTATTTTTATTCGACGGTCAGGATCACGTTACACACCTGTAACGTCATCTGACGCCGCCACGTCATTTCCCGCTGCCACCTTGATACGACGCCGTATTGATGGAGTCTGGAACGGCGTCGTGTAAGTTATCGTTCTTCTTCTCGTCGTTCGTGAGTTCGTCTCGAAGTCGAAACCCTAATTTAGTAACAGTTAAAGCTCTGTGAGGAGAGAGGACCGAGAATGATGGTCAAGCCGTTGGAATCGCTTCCTCCTATGGAAATGTTGGAAATGGAGAGTGGACTTACGCTCGTGCCGCGCCTGAAACTCAATTTCACAGTGTATCCGTCGAGCCCTTCGGTGAGTAAATCCCTTGATGAGTGGAAGTTGAAGCGAGCTCTCATTGACTTTCTCAAGTCTTCGCTTTCGGTTCCAGTTATTGTCCCTGAGGAGGACTTGGTGATCAAACGTATTAAAAAACTTAAGACACGCAAGCGCGAAGATCCACTTGCTCGTGGCACTCTCTTCGTACGGGATCTTAGGTTTTTGAGAAATGCTTGGAAGAAATATGAGGAGGAAGAAGAGGAAGTGACGGTGTTGGAGAAGAAGTTTTTGGATTGGAGACGATACCTGGTTGACAAATTGGATGGGATTGAGCTGAATCTTGAGGGGTTCAAGTTCAAACTCGCTGTCGTTATACCGGAATCTGATAATTTTGAGGGAATGAAGAAAGCTTGGGAGGATTTTTATGCATTTGGGAATCGTGGTAAGCGATTTTCAGTGTATCTTAATTTGTTTCTGGTGTTTTGGCATTGAGCTTTGGTCTGTAATTGTCCTGAAGGTGCCTCAGGATATTCGAGAAGTGGGAGCCATGGACCTGATACCATTATCTTGAGAGGTACACCATCAAGGTGGTTCGCTGAGCCTCGGGTTTCGTCCAAGCCCTCCATGTTGGTTACACACACCATCTTTTCCACGTTTGGAAGGATAAGGTTTGCGATTGTTTTGTCTCTGATTAAACATCTGCTTATTTCTTCTTCGAGCTCTTTCCCTTTTATTTTTGCATGTCATGTTTGGTTTATTCATAATCTTCATCTTTTCTTTTTGATCTTTTATACTACCTTACGGTATAGTATTGAGGTCAATTCAATGAACTAGTTCATTGATTGCTGGCTCCGTATAATTGTAGGAACCCAGAGGTCATCTGATTTAGCTTGTTCTAATACGTGTAGGTGTGGTATAGTGGATGCATTGCGTTCCAGCATTTGAAGTTGACGACTTTAGTTTTAGTTACATATTGTTCTTCTGTTGCTTGGTTTCATTATCATTCATCATCATCACGTTTTCCCCTTTAATATACTCTTTATAGGAACCTGAATATTGCTGTGGATGATGATTTTGGTAAGGATGGCAATGAGGATGGAGAAGGCATAATTTCAGGTCTACACTGTAAAATAACAGTTCAGTTTGAGAAACACAGGGACTTCTATAATGCTCTAAAGGTGTTGTCTGGTCGCTCCTTGCAGAAGGTTGGAAATTACTTCTCTACAAAGGATGTATTTTATAATCAAGTCATTCGGAGTTGCTTGGCTAATTTTCCTGTCATATCTCGTAGCCTCTTGCCCCTGATACCTTTGGCAGGTAGCCAGCCATAGAATTGAAAGATCACTCTTATCCAATGTATAATGACAAATCACAACTGATTCCTTACTGTAAGATGGCGATAATTTATATCATTATACTAGTTAAAACGGTTAAGGTAGTACAGGTAGTATGATGGTAAGATGTAACGTTGTCATTGGTAGAAGTCTGATATTACATACCCTCTCACACATACAGAAACAAAGGAATTTCATTGATGATTGAAGTTACAAAGGATTCTGATATATTTAGAATCCTTTCTGTGTCTGCATGATGAGTTTTATTTAACTTCCTTTCGGGTTGAGGCTCTCTCCCCCTGTTTTGTAAGAAATTGATTTCTTTTACAGATATACCAAAATAAAAAAAGGATATATGCAGAAAGAGAAAATCTTTGGGTGTTCTCACAATAGACTAGATATACTTCTTATTACTAACTCTAATTGCCTATTGTAGCAAGGATCTCGTCTCTGGGCTGATTACGAGGTTACCTGGGACAAGGATGGTTTTACCCAATACTCAAGAAATCAGACACAGGGTGATGGCAGCAGAATGCAGGAAATGGCCGGAGGACAATATAAGAATGAAGCCTTAAGACGTCATCGGTACTCAGGCTCCATTCCTGATGATTCACGGCGAAAGAGGTTCAAGGTTAGTGATCAGCTAGTGAATCAATTTGCAACAAAAAAAAAATTATGGTAGTTAGAGAAACTTTGATTTGTTTTTCCATTTGTATTCTATCAAAAATATTCCTTAATGATTATTATAAATCAACCTCTCGAAAATTGATATATTTCTCCCCATACCAGGAATAGGAGAAGTGAACTCTGTAGATTTCCTCAGTGTAAGCTTGAAGTTTGCTTCTGGCATTACTTGGAGTAGCTCCTCTTGCAGGCGTAAATGGTTTTCTGCAATTCGTAATGACAATCTGACTTCTGTTTCTCACACAAAAATCTACAATGTAATGCTCTCTCCTCGCATTGCAGGATGATTTGTTGCATCATATTTGTCCTAATATCTTCTTTCTTTCTGCCACAGGCCCACATATATCTCCAGTCCCTTGGCCTGAGATAATCTTGTATAAATGTTTAAGAAAATGGCTGGAGCAAGTAACATATTTCTCAGAGAGGAGACATGAAAACTTTGTTTTACCAGGACCTGAGATCTTTTCTTATATAGTCTGTTTAGTTTGCAAGACCTTTTAATTATTTGTTCCTTTCTTGGAGGATCTGGCAGCAAATCTTTTACACTTAATCCTAAGTAATTATGATATGAAATATGATTAACAATCCACGTTCAATAATGGTAAGATGTGATTGAATAACAATTATGACTTAAATGGGTTGCCTGAGAACAGCAAGCAAAAGAGGAAACCGTGATTTATTCAAAACTATGATGGCTACTTAGGACCAGTTCTCTGACTTTGAGTCGCAAACACCTGCAGTTATGATACACTCTTGTTCGCATGTGCGGTGTGTTGCAAAGTACAAACTAAAGTTTACATTACAAAATGTAGGTGAGAAAGGGCATTTGTTGCAGACCAAGTGAAGTATTTAGGGCACTGGGTGAGCTGTAGCATTATTAGCTTTGGATTTGCATTTTTTTGGTGTATAATATTGATAGGAGGATGATGGGTCGTTATTGGTTTGTGATATTATTTTAACAGCTTTAATGTCGAGCCTTACAAATGAAGAAAGTGTCACTGTAATGATGAAGAAAGGAAGCTTTTCGAAGTTGGGAAGCAGGCAGGCCACCAGCTGAGCTTTTCAAACTCATGGCCCCTCTGGTTTCACTTCCTTTACAGCAAATGCCATCTCCATTCTTTCTTTCTGTTTTTTCAAGGAAGGAACAGAGCTTGAACATTTGCCTTTTATGACTCCTTTATTTATTTATTTATTTTAATAATATGTAGATGAAATGTCAAATTAAGATTTGATATGCCCAAGAGAGCTTTAAAAAAGGAAAATTTTATATTTTTAACAGTGTTTATACTGAATACTGATCAAATGAGTTAAAAGATCTGTTTGAACTTTGATCATAAATTTGTACCTTTATTTTTGTTGAACTTGTGGGTCGATATGGAAGTTGGGTTTCAATAAAGTATTCTGTTTTAAAAATGAAAAACAGTATTTTAATGAAGAAATTCTTTTTTCAGCTGAACAACTTTTAAGAACATATTTCCATACAGAGATCAGAAATAGAAAGAGGGTTTAGAGTTTGGACATCTACTTCTAAAAATAGATTTTGAACTCTTCACTAAAATTTAAAAGACTTCTGTTTAAGTTTTGCTGTGTCTCGAAACTTTCATAATTTCTCATTCTCTGTCAACTTTGAGAATTCAATTTTTTTTGTATTTCAACAGACCTTTGGTCACTTATTTTCAACTCTAAAAACTAGACTTAAAGATATAACTTAAAACACAAGTCTATATGGTCCCACAATTCTATTAGATAATATCGCATAAATTCAGCCTCACAAATCAAAATGGTTTATTAGTTTAAACATTCAAAAATGGAAAAACCCAAGTATAATTTAAACATTTTTTTCAAAAACATCTCCAATTATTAATCAGTACTAAAACAAATGTATTTTTAACTAGGAAACTCATCAATGAATCCCAAATAAAGCTATTGTCCACGTACCTCTCATCATTCAATTTGAGATTTCTTTCCCTTTAATTTTTTACTGATTTGATCTCAAAGACAGCTACAGGTTGAGGCATTTTATCAAAGAAACAAGTTGTTGGGTCTGCTCCCAAGATCCAACGAAATTGATTGTTTGCTTCCCCACTGACATTAATCCATCTATATATCCTCTGGCTTAACCTCCCCATTCTTCTGAACAAAGCTCACTTCTTCCACTGTAAGCCTCCACAGAGAAGAAGAGATCTTTATTCTTCTGGTGAAGACAACTCCAAAACTATGGCATTTGCAGGCACAACCCAGAAATGTATGGCTTGCGAAAAGACCGTCTATCTCGTCGACAAGTTGACTGCCGATAACCGCATCTACCACAAAGCCTGTTTCAGATGCCACCATTGCAAAGGAACTCTCAAGGTAAAAGCACTGGTTCTTTTTTTTTTTGTCTCTTTTTTGTCTGTGATTGATGAAGGAGATGAAACTTTGAAGCTGAAGTTGTTGATCTGTTTTCAGCTCAGCAACTACAATTCCTTTGAGGGGGTGCTTTATTGCAGGCCGCACTTTGATCAGCTCTTTAAGAGGACTGGAAGTCTTGACAAAAGCTTTGAAGGTACAGATCATAAGCTGTGTTGGACGGATCTGATTCTTCAGTTTTTGTTGTTAATTCTCTGGCTATTATCAAACCATTTCGGTTTCTTTTCGTGTTTCTAGGGACACCCAAGATCGTGAAACCAGAGAAACCGATCGATGGCGAGGTAATTCCATGTTTGCTTGAGCCTGTTACCTGTAGAATTTCTTCTATTTCTCCCATTGATCTTGAAAGTGCATCGACAGAAACCGACAGCAAACAAGGTTGCTAGCATGTTTGGCGGAACTAGAGATAAATGTCTCGGCTGTAATAACACCGTCTATCCGACAGAAAAGGTAACAACAATCTACAGATGTTTTGTTCTTCCTCCTGGATTTCATTTCATATGCTGAATGGGAATATCCAACCTCTGTAAATGGTTTCTGCTTCAAGGTTACGGTGAATGGAACTCCTTACCATAAAAGCTGCTTCAAATGCTGCCATGGAGGATGCACGATCAGCCCTTCGAATTATATTGCTCATGAGGGGCGGCTTTACTGCAAGCACCACCATATCCAGCTGATCAAGGAGAAGGGAAACTTGAGTCAGCTTGAAGGAGACCACGAAAAGATAACAGCAAGGGAGAAAATCAATGGTGGAGAGGTGGCTTCTGAGGCCTGATCTGCAGAATCATCAAGCTTTCTCTTCCCGCTGTTCAGAATCTGCTTTCACCTTCATCAGACAAGATGAAGGGGAACCCTTATCTTTTTTAAGGCTATGTACTAAGAGAAGTACCAGCATCCATAGTGTTTCCTGTTAAAAGTGTGTTTTTAGCCTGCCTGTTTCTTGAATATTCAAATAACATGCTCAAACAGATGACAAGATCTGTTTGATTTTCACCATTTTGCATGTTGAAGAAGAGTGGCATGTTTGTGTGTTTGAATCGTATTCCTGTCAATTCCAATGGATGCTAATAATTATACACATATATTCACCATGTTTATTCTGTATTTTTTTTCATGTAAACGTATTCTAGATTAGGTTCATTCCATAATAATAAGATAGAACAAAGTTGTAGACCTGAAAGTGTAAGAACTCAATATGATTCTCTCAAATCAAAAGAGAAAAAGGGGGACTGAACTCGATAGAATTCCCTCAAATCAGGAAAAAGAAAAAAAAGAGGGTAGGTCCCATTGGGCTATTCGTTTCATTTAGTTGTAAAGTCCTCGTTCTGAAGGATGGGAGTTTATCCTGACATTGGCTACTATCTCTTTTGGCTAATCTCACAGCCCCAACCTTACAACGTTTTAGGTTAGAAAACTTTTTTTTATAATCAAAGAAACAAACAGAGCTTCCATCTAGAAAAATGAAACAGGAATGAATTTTTTTTTTTTTTTTGATCAAAGAAACAAACAGAGCTTCCATCGTGAAAAATGAAACAGGTTAGAAAATTAAGGAAGCATTTGGGAGTGATTTTAACATAATTAAAATCACTTTTGCCATTGCCATTGTCAAAATCACTCCCCTTTCCATTTGATGATCATGTTAAGCAAATTAAAAAATTGATTTTAAGAAAGCTTAAAATCACTTTAAATTGATTAAATATAAGTTAGATAATGATTTTAGAAATCAATTATACTTAAATATCTTTTTTCAAAATCACTCATTCTACCATTACTCCCAAACACACCCTAAATGGGTAGAAAGTAGAAACGTTGTTTTGAGCCCACCATTCAGCCTATATGAAAGAGAAACAAAGAACATTGTATTTGTCGACTTCTGGCATATGAACAATCCATAATCAATCTGTACATTGTACAAAGATTATTCTTGGCCAAAGAATTCATCAGATCACAACAATGTTAGCTAAGAGAAGAAGAATCAATGAATACATTATTCCACGGTATCCAGAATCGAACCATTTTGAGCTATGTGCTTCAGGTCTATAATAAAATTATCCCTAAGGAAACCAAACCCGAAAGTGCCATTACTGTACTCCCAAATTCTCCCCTCCACATTCCGAGGATTTGGAGTACTTCCAGCCAGGTCTGGTAGGACTAGATCATAGCTGGAGTTGACACAAAGAATGCGGGAAATTGTTTTGTTTTCAATTGAAGGAACTAGCTCATCAATGTCATTGGCTGCTAGTGGCCGAACATGTATTCGACAGTCGTGCAAATATTCTTCCACCAGGGAGAATGGAGACTCCAAGAATGTAGGATTTGATGTCCAAAACACGGGAGCATAACTAGAGACTTGTTCGGACGAGTCCCCAACTCTCCGACAGGCAATGCCACCAATATCATCATATACAACAAGGTAGAAATCCATGCTCATATCATCACTAATTCCCTGCAGGAGGAAATAGGAATCCATGCTAAATCATCTCACATAACCAGCTCTTACTTTTGTACCACTCCCAAGAGTAAAATCAATATCAACAGACACAATTAAGCTGTTTTAAGTTCTAACAATTATAAACAATAATATTCATGTTAGTGTTTCATTAACAACTTATTCCAAGTCTACAGAAAACAGAGCATGTTTCCTCAATCAGGTCAGCTAATACGTTAACAAAGATGTAAATCTTATGATGCTGTTACTCAGAAGAAACAAACGTCCAGAACTCAAAAGTGATTACATCAGCTATAGAGAAATGGAAATGTCAATGAACCCACCTACATTTTCTGAAACCAGATGGTTTACGTGTTTCTATACTATTAAATTCTCAGGTTTTTACAGCAGTGTGTTTAATATTTTGTTGTACATCAAGCTAGTTGTAAAAAGCAGCTCTTGGAATCTCAAAAGTTCCCCAAAAAACAAACAGAACTGTTCCAAAAGAATATATAAACACAAGGAGGTAAGAGAGGGAGACCACACCTTCCACAAGCCCTGTAATGGCCGCGATGGTGTGGGCGAGCAATTGACAATTTTAACGAAATGCTCTGGTTCCCACTTCCTCTTTCCTAGCCTTTCCTTCTCCCTCCTCCTCTGCCTCCTTGAGGCTCTATCCCCTCCCGGACTGGTTCTATTCGCAAAATGCTGATAAATTTCTGACATCAACCGGTCCGGTAAGCTTCCCGGAGAGCCAATCTCCACTCCGTTCACGTCGGTTGTGGCGGCCACAGCGTCCTCCGCCCGCAAATTGGCGGAGCTTGAACTCCGGCGGAATCCCTTTTTCCCTTGTTCTGGGGAATTCGGATATGCGAATGTTAGGTTTTCCTCGATAACAAAATGATTTTTCCCCATGAAGCTCACATCGATAGGAACCAGATCGCAATCGGATTCTCCCCAATCCGCGAATTTCCCCGAGAACTCAGAACGGCCATCGGGGTCGATAAAATTCATAACCTGACCTTCTGGAGAGAGGCCCATCCATAAGAAGGGAGATTTAATCACGCTGTAAGTTCCGTTCTTCGACGGAGAAACCCTAGAGCCAGCGAGAAAATCTGGGCCCCATTCGAAGAACACCAACGGCGGGGATGAGACGCCGATCGTCGACGGGCCACTCCGACGCCAAAAACCGATCAAATTCTCCCACTGATGAAGAGTTTTATAGAGTAACCTGTAGGCGATGTTTCCTTTTCCCCAGTTCTTGATCTGAGTCTTGGAACCCCATCTGCGATCGCACATAGTAAACCACAGTTTCCGATCATTTCTGCAGAGAGAGACGAATCTCTTCGATGTGCAGGAGAAAGTCGCAATATCGGAGGGGGAGAGGAAGGAGAGGATGCATAACTGGACATCTTCCGGAAAATCGGTGAAGGAGAAGGAACCCATTTCGTCGAATTCGGAGCTCAGATTCACCATGTTCTCAGTCTTCCTCGTAAAATTCGGTCCTGGATTTTCCCAATGAAATTAGCCAAACAAACAAACTTCGGTGACCAGTTGGAACTTTCCTGTGCTTGAGGATAGAGCAAACCTGAAAAGTGGAAGCTAATTCGAAGATTCCTTCTGGGAGTATGGAATTATTCTCTCAAATCGAAGATGCCTTTGGAGATTGCCACAGGTAACCGACTCAAGCTTTTTCTGTGTGTTCCAAGAGACAGCTCAAATTTTTTTAACAGAGCTTATTATCAATTAACTGCATTTTTCATGGCCAATAAAATAAAATAGATCAATTAGATAAAGATTATAATTTTAATTGCTTTCAATTTAATGCCAAAATATAAGTTGTAAGTTAGATATCCACCCAAATAGAAAAATTACTTAGAGATTTATTGAATTCCAACGTCAAATAGTCCGAGGACTTAACCTTAACCTTGTGGTTAATAGCCACAAGCTCTAAGTCGGAAAACACTATTTCTACCTTGTGTTTCGTTGTTTTGTTCTTTTAATATCTAAGGTAAATTTTAAATAAAAAAATAACCTATTTTTTAGTTGAGATATATAACTTTATTTGATAAAAGATATCTTATAATTTTTTACGGTAAATTTTGATTTGGTCCTCCAAAATATTTTTATTTTGACTCAAATGTTAAAATTCAGCTTTTATTTTAATTAAATTTTATTTCATTTGAACAATGTGGACAACAAAGCATACAATTCTTTAGTTTTTTTTTTTTTAATCTTTGACAAAATCCATTGACCAAAGAATATTTTAATCAGTTCCTTACGAACATTGGAATGCTTTGCGTGGTCGTCAAAAACACGAAACAAACGCAGACACCTTCCACGCACGACCAACTATTCCCATCCTGATCCAACGGCCACAATTGGTCCATCCGACGACAGCTCCGCCATCCGATCTACCGAACCCCGCCGCTTCAACTTACCACCCGGCCCAGGCCCAGGCCCACTCCCCGTTCGATCGAACTCAAAGGCCCGGCCCACAAAATCATGGATCGTCTCCAGGCCCACATAATACTTCCCAATCCCCGGCAACAAAGCCGAGTGCAAATTGAAAAACTCCGTATAAGCCGGCAGTATCATCTTCAGAGTCGCCTCCTTCAACTGCTCCCGCAAATCCAAATCCGGAATGCAGTATGCCGCTCTGTGTTTCTGCGAGAACTCTCTCAGAGCCTTCACAAACGCTTCCATTTTCGCTTTCGCTACATCTTCCACGGTTTCCTTGTTCTGTAATCGCACGTCTTCCATGTCCATTACCGAAAGCAGTGGCTCCCAACATAGCATCTGGTACGTGTAAGCCGATTCCTCCGCCACCGCTTTGTAATTCTTTCTCATATACTGTTCGCCCAGCAATCTTCCCAGCTCTGTGTTTCGGATCCGCATGTATATGTACCAGTATGTGTTCATTGAGAAGATATGCAGCAAGGTTTTGTCTCTGTAGCGCGATTTTTTGGATTCCACGTTTCTTTGTAGGGCTTCCATGACGTTGGAGAAGGCGTCTTTAAGCAAATTCTCCTCGTCTTCGGATTTGGAGAGGACTCCGCCCTTCCATGATCTCTGCGTTTGGAGAACTTTGGCCATGGCGCAACTGTAGTTGTCGCTTGCGAGGTACTTGAGGTAGTTGACGGCGTATCTGACTAGTTTCGGAACCGAGCCGTCTTTTGGAGGAGGAAATCCGTCGGCATTGCCTTCGATTTGGAGGCCGAAATCCCAGAAAACTTTGCTAGACGCGTGCACGAGCAGCTTCTCCAGCTCTCTGTATCGTGTGCGGATTTCGGAGCCGGCTTCGCCGTCGAATACATCAGAGAATCCGGCGTGGAGTTTTTCTAGGGAGTCGAACATGTCCAAGAGCTTGAACAGCTTCTGCGGCTCTTTGGTGCTCTTGGCGACGCCTTCCCCGAACCGGAAGAAGACGGCCATGATTTTATCGGCGATCTTCACAAAGCATTCAGGCCACATCAGTCCATCCATGATTGAACCTAAAATCTGGTTACAAAGTTTCTTCTCGGAAACCAAAACACTCGTGGCTGCGACCTTGAAGTGTTCAATCCACAGAGAGATTGCCGTGTCCAATTTTTCCCACTCCATTTTGTCAATTTCTTCCGGAGTATATGTTTTGAGATAGACTGGATTGAGACGCATCAATGCTGAAGCTGCTCTTCTGTATCTTACCTGATTTAAGAACGATAGTTTTAGAAATTGCCACATCTTTCTTCTTCAGTAATTGGTGAATATGTTTTAGTTTGGAATTTATTTTAAATAAAGATGGCTAGTTACCTTGACGTAAATATTGATGCAAATATCCAAACAATCATTTGCAGCGAGAGTTTCAGAAATTCGTTTAGCAGCTTCAATCTCCAACTCGCTTCCCATCTCAGATCCCACTGTTTCACCTTCTTTTTCTCCCTCGCCATCTTGGAACTTCGGTTTTCTTTGATGCTTTAGATTCTTTAATATATTTTCAAGTTCATCTTGCAGATTCAGCAGAGCTTCATCAAGCAACCCCTCAAACTTCATGTCTTCAATTTCCGTTTCATACAGAGCTTTGAGAGTGATCATCGTCTCTCTCAATCTGTGTATCCGCTGCGGATCAGCGGCCTTCGTCCTGCTCAAGAATTCCACCACCTCTTGAAGTTTCTGGACCACCGATTCGCCCTCTTGGCTAATCAAGCTTATGGATGCATTGAGCCTATCCACACAGTGGACTAATTTGATTAGCTTCTTCAGGCGTTCATGTGGCGATTTTTCCACCGATAGATTGGCAAAGATTGCGAGAATCTTGCTTTGGAGAAACTCGGATCGCTTAAATGTATCGAGCAGAATGAGAGCAGGCGAAACTGCCCGATTGATCCTCGTCTCGAGGGCTTTTGTCGTCATCGCCAGAGACTGTAGAGGCATTATGCTTCTCGACGCCGTCGCGAGCGATTCGTCGATTGAATCAAGATTCTTCTCCATCTTCTCCAGGCTTTCGTCCAATCTCGCTGAGGCTTGAAGGAGGGTTTTCAAATTCGAACATGCTGCTTCGAGCTTCAGCATCCTCGAGCCCTCCTCCTCCCTCGGCGCCATTGTTACTGCTCCTTCGCTCAGGCTTCAAAAACACGAGGAGATATAAGGATCAAGCGACAAGCACGATGCAGGTGGAAAACATAATACGACGACAAGAATTACATTTGCCAACTGGAGCTCCGATGTAAACTAAGTACAAATGGCGTTTACTGATCGAAAACGGACAAAACTCGTACTTAGAAGCTGAGAATATGCAGAGCCGGTTGAAGGCGACCCCTCGAGAATCAGTCCAAACAATCTTCCTACCTCCATATTTCGCATCCGCATGAAGACATCCATCACATCATCACGCTTCGTCGCGAAAATACGCTGTCAAATTTGGTCTCTGTGACCCAAAATTTTCTGAATTCGACAACTATTTGCAAGGCTTCCATGCCGTTGGCAAAGGCGTCTTTCAGCAGAGATTCTCGTCGGTTCCGGAGTTGATAGAATTTCGCCCTTATTCATCTACTTGAATAACTAACCCTCCAATGGATGAACACGAGTAGATTTTCAAGCCCATTAAGTACACAAGTGGCAATATATACAACTCGTATATATAAATTTATATTTTATTATTGTTGTGTCGAATGTTCTTGAAATTGTAGACGTGGCGCTGGCGCTATTCGGCGAAAAATCTCCAGCAGGGCAGGGCAAGGCAAATGCCTTTTAGTCAAGAGGATCACCTTTCTGGAAGCTTCACGTTTTCTTACGACTGATCGCGAATGCTATAAACCCATGGCCGGGAAGAATGCGATGGAAAAGCAGTGATTACTCTGAGGATTGAAGAATCTCGTCGGTTGCAGAAGCTAAAAGATGGCGAGCTCTCTACTACGTAGTTACAACCTCGCTCGTTCAGATCGATCAGCTTTTGTTCATTGGAGGAGATTGCTTTCTTCCGACTCCTTGGTGGAGTTCAAGCCAGCGGAGATCGGGATAGTCTCCGGTATCCCCGAAAACCACCTCCGTCGTCGGGTATGCATTTCTAATTTTCAAGTGATCTATTTTGTTGCTCTCTGTTTAGTTTTGTTTCAGATAAATTGGACGAATTTTTTTTACTCCCGCAGTTCTGTTGTATGGTTGATTTTCAAAGGAAGAACCAAATATAACTGTCAGGTTAGAGATACAAGTACAATCTCTAATCAGGTTTAGCTCCATTTAGGGATAAGATGGAAAATGGTCCTTTCTACTGGAAATTTTTGCTGCATGAACGTTAATCATGGTGGATTTGTGGAATTATTATCAGTATGTGAACTTATGGAGGAACTGATTCATTGTCTGCCTTTATGCATTGCAGATTATTATCTACTCACCTGCTAGAACCGCCACGCAGCAAGGCTCTGGGAAAGTTGGGAAATGGAAGATTAATTTTCTCTCCACACACAAGTAGGATTTCTTCAATTGCATAGCCCGGACTGACTCTTCTATTCTTTTAATCTTTGTCATTTATCAATAGATGCATATTTTTATCTTATTTTCGTTTTCATGCCTTGTTCGTAGTTTAAATACGATTAATAATATGGTCATTTACCATTTTTCTTAGAGGCAAGTCATTCTTCTAGTCCATATTTAGAAACTAAAACAGAGTGTGAAGTCATGAACATCTGAGAACTGGCAAATCCATGTAAAATTTAATTTTCTTGGCGTTTATCTTGCTTTTGGACTCCTCAATTTGATTTTAGTTTTGTTTTTATGTATTTTCAAGATGTTGAAATTGAAGTTGAAGCAATTATTAACTAGATAGCGGGCTGAAAAGTGGTTTCCATTTTCTTTAGTGCACAACTATATTAGATATCGTGAATTGAGGCTTCACCTCCCTTCCTCCATTTGCTTAGGTGGGAAAACCCCCTGATGGGATGGACGTCCACAGGAGACCCATATGCCAATGTCGGTGATGCAGCCCTTAGTTTTGATAGTGCAGAAGCTGCAATGGCATTTGCTGAAAAGCACGGTTGGCAATACGAGGTTTTACTGAATTTTTGTGTATCATTTACCATTGATTCAGTTTTTACACTTCTTTAACACATAAGATTGAAATTTGGAACGAATAATTTATGTTCTGTAATCTGAAGAGAGAACTTTCCCGTGAACTCTGTTGCAGGTTAAGAAGCGCCAAACACCAATTCTCAAGGTAAAATTATTGTTGATTAATTCCTTAAACCAGTGCTTTTATGCTGCTCTGCCATTTTAGTGTTCTCAGCATTTTATTGGCCAAAAAAACTTCAAGTTCTTTCTTCAACAGTCAAGTGGTTTTTCTTACTAAGTCGTATGAGCTAAGGAGGGCCTATAGATCTACTAGGTTAGTTTATTTTGTAAATTATATTTATGCATTTTCAAAATAATACAAACAAGTTTTTTAGAAACCTAGAATTATGATTACAATTTTGCTCCAAAAAACTTTTAGGACAGGGACTAATAAGTTTATTAACTTTTTTAAAAAGTAGGTCTTTAAACTTTCAATGCTATATCTAATAGATCCCTAAAGTTTAGGAAACGTATTAGACATTCTTTGAAGTTCTATTTGACACCATCTTGATTAAACTTTAGTTTAAGTGAGAGTTTTTCATTTTTTGGATTATTTTGAATGTCTGTGCATCAAACAACAAGAATAATATATGAAATCACTTAAAAAACATAGAGAGTATTATTGATGGGTAAACTAGTCAAAACAAGTGCAATGTACACATTAATTTGGCTAGTTACTATGATTTCTTGACACCGGAAAGAAATGTTGTTTGTATTACTACTTGGAAAATACTTGATTTACTGGTAAGAACCAAATCTTGTCCTCGGCACTATTAAAAATTTGAATAACTCATTAAATATATATATGTATTTCTGATTTGGCATTTCCCTCTTAGTTGTCAAACATTGAATAGTGTATACTCAAGAAATGTACCATCATTTTAATTTTCATTAATTTCATGAGGATTAGGAATTAAGAATTGGACTTTTCTGTAACCGTAAGCATTTATTCTTTTCTTGGACAGGGTTCCAAGTCCATAATAGTGATATTGCAGTTGAGAATAATTAATTTGCTTCTATTTCATTCAACTGATTTCGGTTTCTTGTTTTGAATCTGGTACAGCCAAAGTCATATGCGGACAACTTCAAATGGAAAGGACCTCCAAAAACTGAGGAAATTTAGTTTCAAACTCCAAGCGAAGGAAGGTGTTGTCTTAGCCATGGATGAAAAAATCAATGAATTTGGGAATGTCTAGAAATTGTTCATATGGAGACTGAAAAATCAACTTAGAAGAATGGTAGTTTATTTAAAACTTTTATAGTATTATCTAATTGTTCTATTTTTGAAAATTTTATTGGATGTTTGTAGTATGTTGTATTTACCAAGCTCAGTGGTAATTCACATATATTTCTAATCAAGAGGTTGTCTATTTCCATACGTCGTACTCAAAAATATAGTGTGGTATTTTATTAGTGGTGATTGGACACAAGTATAAGGTGTTTTTGAGTGTTGCGGGTGTGGGGGTATGGTGAGAAAAATTATCATGTAGCTCGGCAGAATTTGATACAATAGCAATAGAGGATAATATTTGTCATTTCATTTAATCCAACTATTACATTCTTTATAGCTCCATTTAATATTCTTATTTATAACAGTTAACTATATTAATTGATCTAAAAAAAATATATTAATGGATCAAATCAACTAGTTAAGATATGACTAAAATGTCATAAGTTCGAATCTTTACTCTCGCATATTGTTGTATAAATAGTTGTAATCTTTACTCTTACATTCCGTGATTCAAATAGCTAGAAGTTTTAAAAATGATATTTTTATTTTTCAAACCAAATACATGAAATACAACTATTTTTTCATGGAGTACTGAAACCGTATATAAACCAGTATGCTAGTACAGCCAAAAATGGAAGATGTATTCTGCAGAGAAACAGTTGCAACAGAGATTTTTCTTTTTTTTTTTTTTGACTTTGTCAGGTTATTTGCATGCTTCGTATCTCTTTGCTAAAAAACCGGGGTGGCGGTTCGACTTAGGGGCCGGTCCAGGGAAGATTTTGTGGCCCGTACATTCTTCTCCACCAACAACAAGTAATGACAAAATTGCATTACAAAAATGGTTGCAGTCCGCTTCTGAGATCCGATTGGTCAAATAAATATTACCAGAATCTGGCTTTTCTTCTCGACGCGTCTTTTCCATTGATCAATGGAAGCAACAGCTTTCTGAAGAATAAAATTCCATTTTCTGATGGAAGAGCCGGGGATGATTCCATCTTTACCCTCCAACTATGTCACTATTCTTGATCTTCGAGAACGGTGGCTCAAAGAAAATGAGCGAAACCAGAAAGAAAAGGAAGAAGAAGAACAGAGTCCGCCGGAACAGGCGCAAGAACAGAAGGTTGAACGGAGTAAACCTGAGGAGAAGCATGATCGGAAGTTGGATGATGGTGAGGCAGTGATTCAAAAGCCTCGACTCCGTACTACTTCTTGGAGCAACAAAAGGAGCGGGCAATTTCGGATGGTTTATCGAGTTGTGCCGGCGAGTAATCCGCGGAATGTGAACGAGAGGTGCAAGAAGACTGAAACTGAAGGTGTAACTGAACCTCGAATCCGGAGGGATGAGAAGGAAAAGAAGGCTAAGAGGAAGGGTCACAAGAAGAACCCTAAAGCAAAGAATGAGAAGGTGGATAGAACATCACGAACACCTGAGGAGAACTCGAAGGAGGAAATGCGAGAAACGGAATGCGAGCTTGGGGTGCAGAACGGGAAGGATATTGTGAACGAGAGGTGCAAGAAGACTGAAGCTGAAGGTAAAACTGAATCTCTGTTGGCTAAACCTCGAAATGCGGAGAATAAGAAATCTAGGAGGAAGGGTCGCAAAGAGAACCCTAGAGCAAAGAATGAAGAGATCGATAGAACGTTACGAACACCTGAGGAGAGCTTGAAGGAGGAAATGCCAGAAACGAAATGCGAGCTTGCGGTGCAGAACGGGAAGAAAAATGTTAGGGCAGAAAGAATGGATGAAAAGAAGGGGATTGGGGGTCAATGTGAACCTGAAGAAATTGATAATATGCATGAGATGAAGGAGATGGAAACCAAATTAAGTAGTATTTCGGTGATCTTTGAAATTAAAAGGAGGAGGAATAATAGTGTTTACAGAGGCAGTAGTCAAGGTAAGCAGAACTTCAGACATCATCAGAATCTTCATCGTTGGGGTCCCCATAAACAGAGGAATGTTGGAATGATTTGGGTGAGGAAAGACGAGCTTTCAGAATGTGCTACCTGTTGATGAATCTGGGGTTGTCCTAAATCACAAGAAGATAGTTAATCTGGTAAGCGCTTCTTTTTCTTTGATTTGATCATCTATGTGATTAATGTTAATATCTTAACTGATTCAATTTCATTATCTGAGCGCTCTGCTTACTTTGAGAAACTAGAGGTTGGATTAATAGTATTGGTGAGGTGAGCCACATGAAAACAGTAGGAATTAAAATTGAGGGTTAAAATTGTTTGCACAAACGTAGTAGATTACATACGACACAGTGAACAGGAAAATACTAGGAAAATCAATGGATGAAGATAAAATATCAGATTTAGAATGCTTTTGGTGACTAGGAGATGATGGTGAGCATCATGTTTTTTTTGGATTATGTCTCTGGTGGGTGCATAGTAGCTACATGGCCTACATAAGCTTTATGCCTAGTTATAATTGCTGAAAGGGTGGGGTAATTGTACATGTGAAGGCGTCCTATCCACATTCTTTACCCTTTTAATTTTAGAAACCGAGTTTTACGGTCTGATTTTCTTTTCCCTTTTTTCTTTTTAGTTTAAAAAATGTGGGGTGGGGATCAACCATTCAACATTCAGAGAATCAATTGAGTTATGCTCATGTTGGAAGTTTTAGAAAGTGAGATAGAGATCGATGACTGCTGTGAACAAAAAGATTGAATAATAGACGATACTTTGTATATAGTGGGGCTGCAGGTAAATGTTTGTATTTTATTTAGTACAGTAGTTCTTTGGAAAATACTACTTTGGTATGGAAGTACTTGAAAAGAAGAGGGCATTTGACAATAAATGGAGTGCTGTTTAGTTTAATATAGATCATACGTTTCATTTGTAATTCATAATCCACTAGCTATATTAACTTGACAATCTATCAGTAATCCTTTATTAGTTTTGAAGCCACACCAACAAGTTTGAATCTCTACAAGGTTGTTTCTTCCTATCATATGTTGGATCTTGTGAATTAAAATAATATCT